AGAACAGGCATTTGTATGGTGCTGTATAGCCAGCATCTCAAGATACTTACATGCTAGATGCACTAAAGATTCTTATGTCCTTTCATGCTTCAACCACCATTCCAGAGGACATGCATCCTGACTGGAGAAGAATTGTGCTCAATAAGGATCCAAAGCTGAGCAGACCAACTCATGTTCATTTTTATCATCTGAGTCAGATGCCACCAGCAGAAGGTTGGTTTTGCTCTTTTAAGACTTTTAAGAGGCTCAACATTTGTCCTTCTCAGATTCTGGAAGGCACTTTAGATTCTTAAACCTTGGGTTGAGTGCTGTAAGCTGTCTTTAGAAATCTCACGTTGGTACCTTCATTGCATTTTGTCAAATCTGCTCTAAAAGCGTGCTTAAAAATGAACAGCATGTACCAGGTCATCATCCAAAACTCATATAACATGAAATATATGGCAGAATGTCAGTAAAACACAGAGCAGAAGACATACAATTCTCCCCCAAGGAGTTCAGTCACAAATTTAATTAGCATAATTTTTTAACGAGCATCATAAGCATGGAAGCCATGTCCTCTGGAATAGTGGCCAATGCAGGACAAAGAGCACAACTGTTTAGCATATTTGGTATGTAAATATCTTTGTACGCCAACTGCAAAAGTGCCATGCAAATGCCTGTCCTCACTTTCAGGTGACATTGTAAATAGGAAGCAAGCAGCAGTATTTCCCTTAAATATAAAGAAACTTGTTTATCTTAGCGTTTGCTGGAACAAGAAATACGAGTGTGTGGATTTGTAGGCGTTAATGTTTTACATTGGGGGGGGGGGGGGGGTTTGAGTGCAGTTATGTATCAAAAAAACCCTACATTTGCAAGTTGCACTTTAACAATAAAGAGATTGCACCACAATACTTTTAGGAGGTAAGCTGAAAAATACTATTTCTTTTATCATTTTTACAATACAAATATTTCTAATACAAATAAAAATTATCTCTATACACTTTTTATTCTGTGTTGTAATTGAAATTAGTGTACTTGAAAATGTAGAAAAACATCCAAAATACTTAAACAACAGAATACGTTAAAATATATTAACAGAGGAATTAAAAATACAATTAATCATATTTTTAAATTTTTGATTAATGTTTTAGTTAATCCCACAAATTAACTGTGATTAATGAACAGCTCTAGTGCCTACTGTTCTATATACAAAAATAAAACCACACCAATACTACCAGAGTGTCAGCTTGGATCTACAGTCACAACAAGTCAGTCTACAAAAACACCACCGCAGGCAGTGTTTACAACTGAGACAAGCAACAACTGATTAAACATTTAATAGATTGTAATTGAAGCAATATCCTTCAATGCCTAGACCTTTAACATACTTAGAGCAGTGGCCTGAAATTAAAAGCTCAGTATTTTCAATATCCAAATTACTTTGCCCTTGACTAAATGCAAGATAGAAAAATTCATAGAGCAAGTAGCAGAATTACATCACACTTAAGTAGTAAAGCAAACTTTGCAAGAAAATACATATATGCATAGTACATTGACATAGAAACAGCGAGGAACATCTTTGGTTCTGCTAAACTAACCTTGCACTGTTCCTTTGGGGCTAACACAACAGAGTGCAAATTAGAGTAATGCCATCTCTGAGCTGCATGAGGGACCAAAGAGGTCCCTTCAACCCCAGGATTAGACAGTGTATAGGAGGTATATCACATCCTTTGTTCCCACCCTTTCATATCCTGCACCAAGCAGGGTTCCACCAGATCTAGCCCTATGTTTTTGGATTCCCTAAAAAATGGAAACAGCTGGCATGAGCAAAAGCAACAAGTACTGGGACTGATCAGGAGAAGCTGATAGTCGGTGTATCTGCAAGTTAGTCTGCTCCTGGGATAAACTAAAAAAGAACTAACATGATTTTAGACTGACCTTTCTAGATATTCAAGGACATCCTGGAAACAAGGAGCAGGAGGAAGGAGTTTTGTTGAGGTCATGTGTAGTCACCACAAAATGAGTTCTGCAGAGATGGATTCCAATAAAAGAGCTTAATTTTATAGTTCATTGTATAAAGATAAATGACGCAATCTTGCTATTTTTTTTAATCCTCTCAAAGAAATAAAAAATTTCCGGCGGGCTAGTCTGTTCACAGAATAGAATAGTAATAGAGATGTAGCCATGTTAGTCTGGTCTAGCTGAAACAAAAGACAGGACTATGCAGCACTTTAAAGGCTAACAAGATGGTTTATTAGGTGATGAGCTTTCGTGGGCCAGACCCACTTCCTCAGATCAAACTGTGGAAGAAAATTGGCATAACCATATATACCAAAGGGATACAATCAACAAAAGTGAACACACATGTGACCGTGTCCGCGGCTGGGGCCACGCCCTGTCCCCCTTGACGCCGTCTCCCTTCTGGCCACTAATGTTTCCCACACCTCACCCTGGTGTGCTTCAGGTTCCATGCCCCGTGCGGGCCGTGTTCCCAGCGTGTGCTGGAAGCGTTCATTGCTCTCTGGGACAGAGAGGGAGAGGGGGGCCCAGGCCCACCTTCACTCACGGGCCCCAGTCCAGGGCCCTAAGGACTCAGATCCTCCACGATCCGGTCCGGCTGACGGGGTGTACAGCTGAAACGCGCCAGCCCACCAGCCCCTTCTGGTTGTGCCCTGGGCTGCTGCTTCCTCTCTCCCCTTATCCCCCTGGCCCAAGCCCAAGCCGCTCACCTCACCCTGAGTCGTCAGGGTGTTCCTGGAGTGGTTGTCAGGCAGGGGTTTCAGCCACTCTGAGCCCTGTCAATTTCACCTTCCCCCCCTTCTGCCATGGTGGCAGCATTTTTAAACACCCCGCTGCTTCCGGTGCTCCCCGGGGGAGGGCCCAGGCCGTGCTGCTGTCCCCGGGGGGGAAGGCCCGCCCCCTCCGTAACGTCTGCGCCGCTGCTTGCTGCGGCTCCTGGATTCACCAGCTGCGCCGCCATGCAGGAATACCCGGCACACCACCGGAGCCCCGCGCCTTGTGCCTCAAACAGGGCTTGCCCACTGGGGGTTTCAATGCGGGACGGGGGCGTCCTGTCACAAAATATAAAAAGGACAAATCAAATTTCAGAACAGACGGGGGATGAGGGGGGGAGGTTAATGTTTGTGAGCTAATGATATTAGAGGTGATAATTGGGGAAGCTATCTTTGTAATGGGTAAGGTAATTAGCATCTTTGTTGAGACCCAGTCGTAAAGTGTCAAATTTAAGCATGAATGATAGTTCAGAGGTTTCTCTTTGAAGTCTTGTGTTAAAATGTCTTTCAAGCAGGATGCAGGTAGTCAAGTGGTTGAGACAATGCCCTTTCTGGTTAAAATGGCAAGAAACTGTTTTTTCTTTGTGAAACTGTCTGATATCTGTTTTGTGGGCATTGAGTCTTTGGCGGAGTGTCTGAGACTGGCCAATGGGAGCTGCTTGGGCCATACTTGCAGGAAAATGCAGCACATGGAGACCCCCTGCCTCAACAGGCATGCAGAGCAGAGACACACATGTTGGCTCCAGCAGCAGATTGCTTTGAGCGGCATGCGGGCAGGCAGCCTGTCCCGAAGTTTCTCTGAGCTGCTGTCTGGGAGCCACTTAGTGTAAGCACCTCCTGGTCAGGGCCTGCACCTGGCACCCCATCCACTCCCACACCTCAATTCCCAGCCCCAAGCCACACCCTCTGCACCCTGCCCCAGGTCACAACCAAAACCTCTGCACCCCCACCCTCTGCACCTCTATCCCTGGTCACAATTCCCTCCCAGTCCCTGCACCCCCTTCTATCCTTCCCCCAGGTCAGAATCAACTCCTGCACCCAAACCCCCTCCCAGACGCCACACCCTCTCCTAAACCTAAATCCCCTACCCCACGCTCTTTTCTGCATCCATGCACCGTCCCACACCACCTCCATTAATATAATAGAAAAATGTGGCCCTTGACCACTTATCAAATTCTTGGAGTAGCTCACCCCTGACTTGGGAAATGGGGCAAACCAGGCACAGGTAAAGCTGAGCCCAATTCCTTTAAAGGGCCAGCTCATCCTGTGATAGCATCCAAAGAAAACTCCAATAACAGCCATTCCATTGGTCACAGAGAATACTGATGAGCATTTTCATACTGCTACATATGAAACAGAAAGTAATAAATGATATTCCTCGAATACCCAGCACAGCATAAAATGGCATTACAGAGACTTCCATCGCCTTCCAACTTGTCCTCTATTAGCCACTGCTAGAGGTAGCATACTGTACTTGACAGATGAATGGTCTGATCTGAGATTGCAAATCCTGCGTTTCATTTTCATAGGTGAACCAGAGCAAAGAGAAATAAAAGAAGTTACATAAGATGCACTAGACAGATGAATTGCAGAGAACGTCTCTCTATCCATAGCAACCTCTCTTTTTACTCATTCAGGCAAACCTAAGTGAATTATAACTATAAATATGTCATTGAACATGTGTACATGCACTCACGCATTATTACGGTAACAAGAACTGGGCATACATTCACAACATTACTGTCATTCTTTGGCCTTTTGCAGCAATCCCATTAGCTCTATCCCAGATCATCTCTTTTATGGTTTCAAGATGAGTGTTCATACATTATCTCCCTGCCCCTCCCACACACACAAATTAACACTGCACAGTCTCGGTGAGTATTTATATTTGCTAATCCATTTTTGATGCCTCTCTTTGGCTTTCATTTACCTAAATATATACAATACTTCCATGGTAAACTGGATTAGAAGAATCCTTTTGGGGAAAGAATTTAAATCTTTATTCCTCAAGAAAGGGACAGTAAAAGAAACTAAGGCACAGTTGGATCACATTCTAACCGTGTCTTTAAAATGCCATAAACAGACTGTAAATGCATATTATGGAATTTTATGCCAGCTATTACACTATGTAAGTTTTCCTGGATATATTGTTAAATTCCTGGAACATATGGGTGTGTTAAATTAGGAAGGCATTTTAATCTCGGGACTTGTCTCCACTATGCCAGGGATCAACACTGCCACGATCGATCCACCAGACATGAATTTATCATGTTTGCTTAGACCATGATAAATCAATCTCTAAGCACTCTACCATCGATGCTGGTATTCCACCAGGATGGGAGAAGGGAAGATGGTGTTGACGAGAAAGCAGCTTCCGCCAACCTTACTGCACACAAGACGCCACAGTAAGTACACTGACTGCTGCCGTGACGAGGTGCAGTCACAGAAGACCCCTCGGGGGGTGGTGCTTCCCGGACTGCAGACAAAGCCACTGCCACTCGCCTCTTTGCTCTCTAGGGTTTCTCACAACATTGTCATGCTGGACCAGAGCTTCTGGTCTCCCCCAGCCAAGGCACAGAGCTGAGATTACTCTCTGCCCCAACCTGAAGAGCAATGCAGACACTGAATTGCCTCAGATCTGAGGAAAATGCAGTTTTGGGCACAGCATCCAATGAAACCACTCCCCAAATGGGACCAGAACCTCAAATAAATGATTCAGGTAAGATCCCTTTATCAATGAAAAGAGGATGTACACACTGATTGCTTCCTCGATCAGGTAACAATTATTTACACTGCGCTCGATAGTAAATGAAAGTGATTTTATTAAGTACAAGCTATAGGATTTAAGTGGTTGCAAGTGAAAAAGGCAGAACAAAGTAGATTACAAATTTAAAATAACAAAAAAAATGCAGTTCTAGTTCTAACACTTATTATAAATTTACCCACAAAACTGTTCTTATTTCATCTAAACCTCCAAGCTAGGGAAGATCTTTTTTCCAGGGGTCTCTGGTTTATTCTATTGGGAATGACATGCCAGCCGAAGACCAAGGGACAGTTGGCTTCCCATTGTTTTACAGATTCCACTTGGGGGGGAAATTGGAGTTCTGTCTCCCACCTACCATGGAAAATTACTTGGTCAGGCCCTACCAGGTTGGAGTGGGGTTCACATGTCTTCCTAAGACCAACCACTGCTTAGACTTAAAGGTCAAAGGAAGCTGTTTACAGGTGATCACCCAGACATTGAGGGAAACACCCCTGATGGCTTTCATTTGCACATTTAAAACCATAAACCATTCCATATCTCATATTTCTAATTTTACCTGCAGGAGTGACACAAACTAAAATAAGATATACAGATCCAGTAGACTGAGACTTTAAAATTGATAGGTTATACGCAGTAATTTGTTCAAAGCATCTTCAAGTCATGTATATTTGTATATATAAGACAATGTTGTACAGTATGGGGGTGGCGAACCTTCACAGCTGCTGCCCCTGCAGAACGGTTTCTAGGAATTAGCATAAAAGCTGCACAGAAGACAGGAGCATTGAATATGGCACAAAGTAATCGTGTGGAATCCTGTCCCTCTCACCCACATTGTTAGTAGGGGCTGCTAAGGGATCTCACACATGCACAATGCACCCAATGCACAAAAGCCAAAGCTTTGTATTTCCACACTCTGACTTTTTCAGCTCAATGTTTGCACATCTGTCCCACCCACCAGTTATTTGCTTTTTAATCACCCCATTCCAATTTGTCACTCACAGCTGGTTCATAAATGCAGTTCTCTATCAACAAAAGGCCTATGTGACTTAAGAAGAACCTGCCTTCAAACACCGCCTATGAGCGAAGGTAAAATATAGTCAAACTCTTGCTTTGTACTGATTTTTTCTCCCTATCCCTCCTTTCTTTCTTCCTCTTTCCTTACAACAGCCTAGCCTATCAGAGAACAGTTTTCTGCCCTGAACATCCAAATCACAGTATGTGACAATACCAGAGAACAGTTTTCTGCCCTGCCCTGAACATCCAAATCACAGTATGTGACAATAACCTGTACAGCATAAAACTCTCCTGGATTTTCACCTTGTCCAGAGTCTATTCAGTTAGAAGCCAGACTAAATAGGATTGGAGGGGAGGGGGAGCATTGAAAAACATGGAGCAAAAGCCAAATGAGCAGCAGGGAAAAAAGAGAAGCCCACAGATCTTTTAGCAGCCATTGTGGAAGCATTACTGTTCTACATACTGCACACGGCAACATTTAACAGAACATTTTCCTCAAAAAAGCATCAAGGGAAGGCAATTTGAAAACAGTAGAATGACTGTGGGAGGCAATTATGATGATTAGTTCCACTGGAAATAAAGCTTCACAACAACTCCCTCTAGGGCTTATGTTGAAGTCCACCTGTTTAAACCATGCCCACCGCTGTTTACACAGCAGTCTATACTTAGCTGAACAGCAAGAACATATTGGGTTCAAGACACTCCAAGCAGGCTGACTGGAAAACAAAATGTCTGTTTGTGAAGAAAAAGAAAGGGGAAGCAGAGGAGATGAGAGATCCAGGTTCAAGTTCTGCTCTGAATAAGGCAGAGCTCACAAAATAAAAATGCCTTTTAATTGAAAACTTCTTTATCAGCTCTACCTACAACTGCTATAAGCAAACAAATGTAGTGTTACAAGATAAAATTATTGTAAAATTCAAAGGTTTAAATTATTAAATAACCAGTGGAAGTACATTGAGAGCCTTTCAGTTAAGGAGTTACTTAAAGGCATGGTAGTATTAGTACATACCACAGTGATTGAACTTTACCTTCCTAGAAAGTGTAAAGTTAGCCATTTAAGAAACTAAATTTTAAGACAGAGCTACAATTCACTTAGGGTCAAATTGTGATTGCCTTACTCACCTTAAGCAGAGCCTTAAATTGGACAATTAGGGGGAGATTTTCAAAGGCACAAATACCAAATTGTGATGGCCTTACTCACCTTAAGCAGACCCTTAAATTGGACAATTAGGGGGAAATTTTCAAAGGCACAAATAGGAGTTGTGTGTCTAATCATCCTCTGAGCCTTTGAGAACTCTCTCTCTTAAAAAGCAGTAGTTTTAAAAAAAGATTTATTCTAGTGACAGAAATGGAATGGTGAATGGAAGTAGGTCTTCCCCGAAAGCAGGTTAAAAAAAAGTCAGACATTTTATTCAAGACAGCCAGGAAATCCATGAGAAGTTGTCCACACAAAGTTAAAGGTTAAAAGAATTAAGTTACCTGGCTTATTGAATGTGAATGTCAGGAGAGAGTTCAGGAGGGAATTACTCATTTTATAGAAGCAATAATCAGGGGGTTGTGTAGCTTGCTCACATGCACATTCTCACAACCAAATCTCTGGTTTATTACTAGAATGGGCAGGGAGGAGAGTTGGGAGGAGGTGAAGTGGAACAAGACACTTTCATCAAAAATTTCAGAAGTGGAAGGATGATAAATCACATATGACATAGTTAAGCCTGTTCATATCTGTCCTTACACACAGTCCCACTAAAATTTCCTTCACTGAACATTCCCCAGATGGCTATATTAGTTGCTGGACCACTGGACCTATGTGTTTCCTTTGATCCAAGTAGGCTCCAATCTGGTATATTTCCAAGATGGCATTCTGTTACCCTTTCACAGAAATGGGACAACATTGCATAGCTGCCCTAAGCCCTCTGCTGAGTCCTCTGCTGATCCCTCAGACTCTGCAAACAGTTTTATCTTCAGCCAAGTGGGTGCTCTGGGTGTACCGTTCAACTCTCAAAGGCATGTGATAGTGAAAGTTGAAGCAAAAGTATGCCCATATCTCCTACAAAAATCCAACTTTCCTTACACAGATTAAGTTGCCTTAAATTATGTTGACATACAGCCACTGCAATAATTGGTTTGATTTTTAACATCCACACTTTGCTCCTTCGGACAGTGGTGCACATCCTCACCAGGACCATGTGTGCTGATTTAACTGATAGCGTGGGGCAGTGTGGGGGCATGGACACCTGGGCCTAGCTGTTTGGAGCTGACAGCTGGAGCCCCCCTTGGCACCTCCCAGTGACGGTTTGAAGAGGAGGGAACAGGAGAGCAGTAGCCTGGGTTGCTTCCTGGTAAGGACTTCAGCTGTCAGCTCTAGGCAGCAACAGGCAACATAAGCAAAGCAGTATCTACACTGACACTATATTGACCTAACTAACTATATCAACTTAAGCACTAAGCTGCTTGCAGAGGTGAATTTAGTAAGTCGGTGTAGTGGGCGACTTACGTCGGTGGGAGCAACTTTATAATGTAGTGACATAGAGTGTTAGGAGGATATAAGCTGCCTTACACAAAGCTAACTAGTGTAGAGCAGACCTTAATCCTTCAAGTCTGTGTGTCTTCTACAACCACCACCTGGTTCCTTTATTCAGCAGCTGGTGACTTTCTGTTCTCTGCACCCAACACCCTGCCAGAGGAACGAACTTTTCAATGTGCTTTGGGGTACTTGACCTCCCACTTTCACAAGCCTGGCCCCATTCCACTCAAGGCCCTACCCTGACCTGCCTCTTTCTATCCCTGCTGGGTCCCAACTGCTATTCCCTCTGCCTTGGAAATGTAGCAAGAGCTCTGCACAGGTATCTTCCTACATTTAAAAGGCAGAGGCACAGTTGGGATAGCAAGCCCTGCCCCCACCCCTATCAACTAATTGAATTGTTGATGGAAATTACGAACTAATTGAATTGTTGATGGAAGTTACGAACGGGGCCCATCTCCCTGGTCTCCAGCAGACCAGGGGGATGGGGAGCAAAGCGGCGGAACACGCGGGCAGCGGACAGCCCAGACGCGTGGGGACGGGGAGCAAAGCAGAGCAAAGACACACCAGTC